GTATATACATGCATGTATATACACATAAATTCAAATATAAACATATGTATACTTATACACTCATATTTATATATTTATATATATATATATCCTCATATATACATACTCATATGTTCATACTCATATATTCATATGTCATCATATTGGACCTCGTGGATACGGTCAGGTATCGCCTGATCATAGTAGTTCGCAATGTGCACGCTTTTCTTTCAATCATAGACTATCTCTGCCGGGAAGAATCGTCTTTGATCCTCCAATATGGAACTTCAGTATGACGGTATAGAAATGAATAGAAAACATAGTCTGACATAGCCTTCTAAAGGCTATGAACAAAAAACTTTATTTTTCATTATTTTTATAGAATATATCCTAGCTCATGCACAAAATTCGAACTAAATATATATTGTTTATTTTCTTTTTTGTATGTAACAAGAGTACTTGAAACGTGAGCAGACTGAAGAGTCAGAAGTGAGAAGACAGTCTCACGAATCATATATCAATGATGAATTCGGAGAAGAGTAAATATTTTATTCCTAATATGGAGATATAAATTGTTGCGGTAGCAAGGTATTGGACAACGGGATACACAATAAAATCAGCCAGTCTGCTGACTGCTCTCTCCGCCTCCTTAGAGACTATTTCCAAGTTTCCAACCACTGGCGCGAGTCGCGCCTGGGTGGAAATGATCGTAACTTCAAATATTTACGCCTTTAAGGGCTTAGAGGCCTTAGGGCCTTCGGCGCATACATAGTACATTCGGTTTATACGGATTACGGTATTTAAATATTCATTTTTCATGTTAAAAAAGTTGAAATTTGAGCCTCAATGGCTGGTCCTCTTGAGTCCTCAGCTCCTCACAATAAAAAGGCCTGGATAAACTATAGAATATATCAGACATAACAAATTAAGTTTAACACACACACAACTAACTACACAATGGAAGTTTAACCACTTGCCGAGCCGATGAAAATCAACCGGTCCACATACATAGTGCTGGCATCTTTGCCTATCGCACTTGTAGTTTCGCCCGTGGTATTCCCCTTAACAATTGCTTTCCTAGTATGCGGAGCTGTACTTTTGGATGGTCAAACCTAAAATAGCCAATAAGATTATCCCTGATAAATTACACCCAGTTACTACGAGGACGGCGGCACTAGCTACTTCAGCGATTCTTAAAATCAATGTTTGGAGAAAGGGAGAGAACAAGTACACTAAGCCCACGGAGCCTTTGGGTAAGTGCGTATGATTTATTTAACAATCAGCACTGTGTAAATTTATCAGCTTATACTGTATTCAGGTGAACAATGAGTTTGTGATGTTATATTGAAACGCGATCGTAGTTATGATTGCTGCTGAGTATACGAACACGTGTTTAAAATTGTGAAATTACATGCGCTTTGTGATAATTCTATATATTTCATATTATTTCTATGTATATAGACTAGTAGCACGTGCATACACTGGTATCGATTTGTGAATATGTAACAGGCATATAACTATGTAAATCTTCATCGTATGTACGCGAGTGTTGACAATTGAACAATGTTCCATTAATTCTACGTGCCGAAGGATCCTTAATCTAAACTGCGTTGCAATCTGTTGTAATTACACACATCCGCTGTGTCATGCTAACAATCATACTTGGATAAACATTCATATGTACTCATCATGACAAAATACTTAACCTCACCAGTCAAGAAAACCAAGACTATTAGGCGTGCGTCGAAGTCACTACATGGAGAGCCATCAACTGTTGGGGATCTCATGTACCTGCAACGGCATGCACACTACGAAGAATTGATCGTGGCACTGAGACGGATGCTAAAGGAGTAGCCCGAATTAATGGAGGAGACATTTGTGCAGCTTGGGTTGCCTTGCGATTCCGTAACATCTTGATCCGTGAGGCTGCTAAGGTGTGTGTGTGTGTGATGACTTCGTGGGTTTTTATTGCTGATGTGACTGTTTGTAAAATAACTCGGGTATAGATTGTTAAGCTATTTATGTTTTTTTTGCATCTACCTACCTAATGCTAGCAAACACTTCTACATAAACTCATTTATGGAATTTTCAACCATATCATTCTCCTACGAATCAAATATATCGCTATACAGGACAAAAAAGCTGTTGAAGTGGCGAGTTCTGATGGATGGTTCTCGTCTGACACACGTTTGCCAGAGGAGAAGGTGACCTATCGCTTCATCAAAGTTGATAACTTCAACGAGTGGCAATTAGTGAACGGAACCGAGAACATCGTGCCTATGCCTGAACCTATGTTCCCAGGTAGGTACTCGCGCAGATATAATTTTGTGCATTGTATGTTGTTTGCATGTGCACACGTATTGAGCTTGCACAAATTGCTACTGGACTTTGTATCAAAATATCCTCGTCGCCGAAGCAGTTTTCTACGATGCCGGCTCAGATGTTGTTTGCTTGAACTATTGGTAGCGTTGAATCTCTCATCAATGTCGAATCAATTCCTTGTAGGAAAGGCATAAATTTCCGCTGCCTATTAGAAATCTAATCACATTTCTCTTTGTGTGTACTATGAATAGAGAAAATTGACTACGGAGTGATGTTTGTTCCGGGCCTGCTGAATGGCATGTTTGCCTGTGCGTGCCTTTCGTGATCAGATGAAGCCTATGCTCGACCGATTGGGAGTTAAAGGTAGGTAGGCTTATTTTTCATACTCGACGGATTTACTGTGTTATATAATCCGCTTACTGTCACGTTAACTGATGTTGTTTTATATCGTCTTTTCCACTTACAGGACTACGTGTGGATGTGCATCCTATGCGTGCCTGTGAGCAGAATATAGCAGATATTAAGCGAGCCCTCAAGGTATCATATGTATATACATGTAGATTTGTGTGTATACATCTACTTGCACTTTTGGGCGAGTCTTGTGCCATGCGCTCGCCTAGTATTTTATTCGTGGTCTTGGTTAGGCTGTTAGCACCATATGTTTTTGCCATATATGTATGCATTAATGAATTTCTGCTGGTCTCTATATGAACAAATTTACACATCAATTCGTAGCTTTTGCCATATATGTATGCATTAATGAATTTCTGCTGGTCTCTATATGAACAAATTTACACATCAATTCGTAGCAGTGATAGCTCAAAGAGAGATTGTTTTAATAGAAGGTTTTTATTTTTTGGTCCGGTTACATTCTAATCTACCTCTAGCTCCGCGATGTAAGTTCTGCACATCTTTACCAACTTTAGGGTCGTTCATAATCCTTGCAGCCCGAACTGTTTACAATTTCCCTGTGAGGTTTTATCAACCTTTCATATGATCCGCCTTAATTGGTTGCAACCATCAGACTGATTGATTGTTCGTTCGTGTTTCTACTCAGGGGGATGGTTTGACTTCAGACTGCCAACCCGCAACCGTATGGAGGTGCCGGAAAAATTCATCACAATTGGATATAGCAAGGTACAAATGTCGTTATAATTTCAAGCAGTCACTTTCTTTCATATACAATTATTTTCAGTTTTTAGTCGTGTTAATTTTTTAGTCTTCTATTAATATATGAGAGGGTGGTTGTCATTAGTCTGTATATGATTTTCATATCCTATTAAAATCTAAAATGAAAATCATTCTTATATCATATTCTTTATCTGTCTATGCAGGGGTGCCCCGATCTACTCACGGCATTTCGAGAGCTCCCAGAGATGCGGGAGAGATGTGTTGGTATGTTCAGTTGGGCCGGTGCCTATGGAGGATCCTTCGTGGCGAATGATATGTACAATACCGTCAAGGAATACGACACACCGTACATTATGTCCAATCTCAATTGCATTCTCGAATACATTTGCCCGGTGATCGATCTGCGCAAGGTATGTTTTCGTTTTTCGACTGTCGTTCAGTGATCTGATCAAGTACTATAGCAGTAATTCTCCAGAATCCGATTTTTAGCCACCAATTGGTTTTTTAGAACATAAATTCAAAAAATAATCACTCGGTTCATGTACATATAGGGATAATAATATTTATTTCAAAAATGGCAAGTATGTATGGTACAATGTATGAACATAGGGTATGGCTCTCATAGTCGCTGTAGTGGTTCAGGAAAGATTGATAGGAAGAAGTGGTCAGTAAATTCCCGTTTGGAGCTTGGGCCAAGTGAGTCGACAATGGAAGATATGTGCTGAGGGAACACTAGGCCGTATAGACAAAGTCAAAGAACGAAAGTAAAAGTGAAAAACAGCGGAATTAAAAAATAAAAGATAGACCTATGAGTCGGCTGTGACGTAAAGCTCTTTTTGTTTTTTTAAAACAAAACAATAGCGACATTTATGACAAAATGAGCCATAGATTTTATAAAAATGCCAAAATGGCTTCAAAAATCCACGTTTCAAATTTCCTGATCAGATATTCGTACCCCTGTGTGCCCGTGAGTGAGCTCTTTTTCAAACTAAAATTTAAAAATTCGACCAAGTGTATGGATTCTGTTCATGATGTGAAAGTAAAACGTTGAATCTGTATTTAAATATGTAGTCGGCCTACATACTCTATATTTATCACTAAAAGCTTTAGCTATTACGTCAAGGAATTAAATAAAACATTTTATGCCCATTTGAGACCCTGTACATGAATATAGAAAGGCCCAATACAAGAAACACTAGGTGATACCAGCAGTAGAAGAGATATGGTTATTGGGGGCTCAGTCGAACCCCCCCCCCCCGAACAAAAGCCAAAAAGAAATTGGAAATCTGGACCCAAACGTGAACCAAAATTGAAGTTGCAGTTTAACCATGGAGCGCGCTTTTGCAAAGCAAATAAGGGTACGAAAGACGAAAACCCCCCAAAAAAATATAAAATAACATTTCTCCCTCTTTTTAATGCTTTTAGCTCCCCACCGACGTCAGCGGTGTTTTATATATTATATGTATAAAAAAAAACCAATGTACAGCCACCACTCATGACTCATGAGTCATGACTCAATAGTCAACACTCAACACTCGAGTCTCAACAGTGTATTTATTTTAGTGTTTTTTACTTTTTACTCACACAAGAAATACATTTTCTTTGGGCCAGTGGCCTTACTCTGGGGCCTACGCCCTTTGTATACTATAGAGCTACTATTACAAAGTAGTAGGGGCTCAGTATTGTCGTTTCCAGATGTTTTGACTGTCTACCCGTGCTTAGCGGGGGTAGGAAGTCTAGCATCCGGGCTGAAAAGTAGCTGAATATTGTAGGGACACAGAGGTTTTTACTGGCTCTATAAATATAACAGTCGATCTGAGTGGTGAATGTATTCATTTCAAAACAAAATATTCAACCAATTTTCTTGAATTTAGTTATCCATTGGGAGGCTGTTCCGAAGAGAATATCTGATTCAGTATTCTTATCCTTAAACCGTGACGCCACATCAAAGTAGCGGCATACGTAGCGGTCGCCTGTGTGCTCGGACGTAGGCAGGTCAACCCCATTTCGCTTAGCATCTTTAAGTGCGTCTACTACATTCGGGTGCTTCAGCTTATGGTTTTGCGTCAGCCAAGCAAGAATGTTTTCTTCATTCTGCTCCTCCAGAATAAAGTTAGGGTTGCGTGGTCTCTAAGTCTGTAGTGTTTCCAGACTCCTGTCCTTCTTTTGCATGAGTGTCATAAGTGCGCTCGTGTGCGTTTGATACACCTGACTTATTTAATAGTCGCATTATATGTGTATATGCTTCAAGATTATCTTTCGTTAATCCATTTAAAAATAGGTTTTGAAAGACTTCGGGCTTGGACTTTATGTTATTAAACAGAGTCCTAGCTAGAGACTGACGCTTCTTAATTGTAGTGTCAATAGTAGATCGTATTTCTTGTGCACAGACTTCAAGTGCTGTGTTGCCTTTGCACTGCATAACGTTCAAAATAGTGGAGAGTGGAATCTCTGATTCTTTGACCTTGTTAAGGAAGGTCTCAGCAGGGGTCCATTCGGTTGTTCCAATGGGACCTATACGACATATTATAGTATGCCTCCAGGGCGTCTTCTGGACGGCTCGGGTACCCTGATATAGCAAAGAATCTACTTTCCTAAACCCTGGCACAAATGTATTTTGAACCAGTTCAAACCACCTGTAATTACATTTCCAGTCAGTGGCTAGTAACTCACGTACAGATTTATTAAAGTCCGGTACGAAGCGCGATAACATATCCGGTAAATGGTTATGTATTCCTGGCAGATGTTTTATATCAAAATAAAACTTTGATATTGTATCATGCCAGCGACTAAGTATTGTGAGTCGGGGTTCATCTCTTTCATATATTGAAGAGATTTCTGATCACACATCAGCGTAAAGGCCGTTCCGTATAATTAATCTCGGAAGTGTGTTAGAGCTGCCACTATGGCTAATAGCTCTTGTTAACAGTTGGATAATTCAACTGTGAAGCATTCATCGCTCAACTAAAGAATTGTATATATCTAGGTTTGTTATCTATAACCTGATATAATACTCCTCCTAAGGCTAAGTCGGAGGCGTCCGTAACTATTTCAAACGGTACGCCATTGACCTGTCCTTGTACAACAGGGGCTTGTTGGACTGCATGTTTGAGCGCTTTAATTGCGTCATCACACTCTTTAGTCCACAAGTCTCCTAGTTTGCCTTTATGACATCTTAAGTGTCCAAAAGGTTTAAGATACAGCCAAGTGTGGTACTCCATCTGAAAAGAAATTTACAAACCCACACATGCTGTTCACATCTCTTCCTGTAGTTGGTGTTCACTTATCTAACAGGTGTTCCACCTTACCGGGGTCGATTTTAATACATTCCCCGGATATACGGTAGCCTAAGAGCTGTATTTCGCTCATGGCGAAGTGACATTTCTTCTTGTTAATCTTGAAGTTTTGCTCGTTGAGTCTCTGTAGGACTCGCCTGACTAATGCGGCATGTTCGCCCTTAGTCTTAGAAAAGATGACTATCGTTAGGCATTTCTGCAAACATTCCCTCTATTACCTGTTGGAAGAATGCTGGTAAAGAGTGCAACCCCAAAGGTGCACATTTGAACTTGTATTGTTTACCTTTCCGCGTAAAACTAAAGTATTTACGATGTGGTTCATTGGTCTTCTCACACTTGTCACACTTAGTATGAAAACGTGTACAGGTGCCTTCGCCTCTGTGCGTGCCCGTTTATTGGGTGGCGTGGATTGAGTGGAGTCGCGAGCACGTGTCTGGTTAGGACGCGTCTGATTAGGTTTATCATCTGACGTCTGCCGTGATTCCCTTTCGAGGTTACTCGGTGTGTGGGAAAACGAGTGGATGCAGTATAATAAAACTGTTTCCACGTATGTCGGGATATATGAAACTTTGTTTCGTGTCCCTTGTCTCGAGCCTCAGTAGCGTATTTACGTCGCAATTCGGTGTACGGACTTTCACGGTCGTTGTTCCCTATGTTTATACAGAACACATGCATAACCAGAAACTCGTACCATCGCTGCGCCTTGTCCTTTGTTATATCTGGACGTTTAAGATCAGCATCAAGTTTTAGAATATTACACTGAATAGGAGTATTTTCAACTGGTTCAGTTAAGATTGAACTCAGTCTTGGATTTCGCATGTCCTTGCTTAATAAGGACGTAATCAACCAACACACAGCTGGCCAGTCACGACAAGTGTCTAGCTCATGCTGGTGTCGCTGCAGGATCAAGTAATTTGTTCCTGTAGGGTCAAACGACTGCATTAAAGCGGAAATCCATTGCTGGGGAGCGATATCATTCGTCTTCAGCATGACCGTAAACGCATTAAGCGTACGGGTTAGCGTGTCGAGGTCATGGTTGCTTATAAACTCGACCTTCTTACTGTTGGCATCCCAGCCCGACTTAAGTCGACTGATCTGTCCCTTGTATGTAAGATTCGGTCTATTAAGGCGATATTAACGCCTTAGAGTAAGTATACGCGTAGGTAAACTCGTAAGTATCGTGAAAATATCAAAGTAAATAAACGAAATGAGACTAAGGGATTTTATTTAGTGTTTCGTTGTCGCTCTATTAGAAACTATGGTATGTTTCGTTGGGGCGAATCCGAGAGACTCATAAAATCCTATCTTTAGAAAAAAGAAAAAAATTTCTTGATGTACATAGTTTGTGCATTAACCAATTAACTTGCCACTTATCAAGAATTACCGACTTAGCCTTCATCAGACTGGCACATCTGGTTGGCTGATCGGAAGATCAACTAGGTAACGTTAATAGTCCCTAGGTAACGTTAATAGTCCCTAGAAACCTATATTCGGTTGAGCCATCTCGCTACCGAAGTATTCAGATATAAATAGTTGGAAATTTTATAGTTCTATTAATAGAACTAGACCAACTCTTATGTTTGGTATTTTACTGAGGCCTTTTAATGGCCTCGTCCAAATATCTGACATGTAAAATGGAAAAGGTATTAATTAATAATACTATTTAAACCCATTTAGGAAGCTTAATTAAGATTGCGTTTATATTTTACGTACTGCTTAAGAGTACGTTTATAACATAAAATCTAATGTGGAGGTCCGGCTATTACATGTACCGCTGATTATCCCTGTGGTCTTGCTCACGTTGGCCCTGAAGTAGCTGATCGATGTACTTTTGCTTGAACGCGATCATATTAGAAAAATATGATACATCATCAGCACGGTACGCACCATTGACGATTTCAATTTTAACGATGTAATCGTCGACCGATTTATTAAGTTCGGTCACCTCATCTGAGTGGAAACCCTCTGCGGGCTGGTGTAATGCTGTGCGATCAAATCGATTAAATTCAAACCCTTTGAGATTCGTCTTTGTCCCCTATAATTTTCGTCAGAAGAATTGGTTGGGGAGTCTTGAGACGTGTCCCTTGTCTCACTTCTTGGCCTCGTAAATGCAAGCTTTTAAGTTGAGGCAATAGTTAGCCCTCGGGCTCTATCTGTAGGAGTAGCTCCCTTAATCGAAGTGGCTACATCCTTATCGGAAGCATTCTCTTGTTGACTATTATGTCGGAGACAAGTGCTTCGGCTACGACGCGGTTAAACGCATCGGCAGCGGCGGCGATTGCTTTTGCGGTAGCAGTAGCTGCGGCAGCGCTAGTGGATTCTCTCTCTATCTTCTCCCTTTCAGCTCTAAGCTTCTTAGAAGAAATATTGTCTTTCTTGGTCATAATATTAACTTATGACTGCTAGCTGGTCTCTTAAGGACTAGCTTGGACAAGATAATTTTTGTGGTAGTTATCTACCTTCAAATTTTAAGTAGTCTAAGTAATCAATACCTTTGCTATATTTAAAATTTGTAAGTTTCGGTCTATCAAGGCGATATTAATGCCTTAAAGTAATTAAACGCGTAGGTGAAGTCCAAGTATCGTGAAATTTAAAGTAAATAAACGAAATGAGTCTTTTGGTAAAGTTAGGTATGCCTCGCGAAAACAGCAATACTCTGAGGGATTGTGAGGCTGAGACATTGCCTATATATAATCCTCTCAGAACTGTTTTCGCCAAAGGGATTGTACTTAGTGTTTCGTTGTCGTTTTATTAGAAACTATGGTATGTTTCGTCGGGGCGAATCCGAGAGACTCATAAAATCCTATCTTTAGAAAACATTCTTGATGTCCAGAGGGATAACATTATTTATTTCAAAAATGGAAAGTTTAGTGCATTAACCAATTAACTTGCCACTTACCAAGAATTACCAACTTAGCCTTCATCAGACTGGCACATCTGGTTGGCTGATCGGAAGATAAAATAGGTATCGTTAATTTGGTATTTTACTGGGGCCTTTGAATGACCTTGTCCAAATATCTGATATGTAAAGTGGAAAAGGTATTAATAAATAAAACCGTTAAAAACCATTCAGGAAACTTAAGCTCCTTGTACTATTAAGAATACGTTTATATTTTACGTACTGCTTAAGTGTACATTTATAACATAGCGTCTAATGTGGAGGCCCGGCTATTAGACAAGGGATCTGTGAGTAACACAATAGTTCATACCCATGGATTCTAGTGCTGTTTCTCTTTAAACCCTATCCCTACCAATTTGTTGTATAATGTCTACATTGTTATCACCTACTTGCTGTGTTACTACTTTATTGTTTACACCTTCCTGTTGTGTGAATAGCATTTTGTTATCACCTACTTGACTGGTGAAACTAGTATTGTTATTACCGCTCTGACAATCGGTATTTGTATTTCCACTTTTACAATGATTGTCTCTTGTAAAATCGTTTTTCTAATACCTCCCGCAAACAATCGCTTCCTAATCTATTTGACCCCTGGCACTAGTGTTCGACAATTTAGGCATTTGTTTTTCTGTTTCGACCCTCGTATTGGATTCATCTTTGTCTTTCTTGATCTCTCTGGTAACATGCTAAATGTACAGCGTCTTTTATATGATCAGAACTATTGTCTCTCGCCTCGTCTGTATGTATGTTTGAACGCCAGTTATCTACGTGTGATCGTTGTGAGTGACGTGCATTTGAAAGTGATTGTGAATGCCTTGATTTTGAACGTGAATGCAATGCATTTGAATGTGAAAGTTGTTCGCGCGTGAGTTGTATTCTCTCATTTGTACGATTCAGCACTCGAGGAGATGGCGGCGTTCCGTCGAGGCTACTAGATATACTGTCAGGCATACTGACTATCATAACAAAAATGCACAATAAACAACTCTTGTGCTAACTATGTAAACAACTGTGTACTATGTAAATTACTATAAAGTTGTTAAATACACCGGTAGCAGTATTCTTGCCGTACTTTTCTAAGTGCACACCGGAGTGTTTTTGTTTGTTGACCGGCGGTTGCAAGTCATCTACCAACGGACGCTACTTTTACTATAAAGTTGGCCTTACAGCATGATATCGACTGAGGTGCAAGCACAGTCCTAAACTACAGCATAATGGCTTGTTACGTGGACCGGTCCAGACTTTCGTTGAACCGGATTCCAGTATATCATTGGTTGACAGACAATAGTTTCGTTTTTTCGTACTTACATAAAAATTATACGTCCAATGAATAAATGATATACCTTATTATTTTATTTTTCAACCAATCAATAAGTAGTCTATGCACTACGCTGGAAGAAAAATACAAAGCTAGAAAAACTCTCTCAGCCAATGGCCTGTCAGTATTTAAAGACTCAAGGGGTAAGGTATCGGGAGGTACTTTGTCAAAACATTAGTTCGGATCTGTATTTCAGTCGAGAGAACTACTACTCTAGAGTAGAGAGTGAGCGAGAGACCTCACTGAAGCTCAGAGTCTCAGACAGCTCAGACTCTCAGTGCTTACCCCTTAGGCCTTAGTCTGTCTATACCACCAGGTAACCAGGTCTATACTCTATCACGCGCGATATTTTTACAGTCTTCAGCTCATAGTCATTCTTCGACCGAGACGTGCACCCGTGCGGGCGGTGCGACTGCATTCAGGGATGTTAAGTGGACAGAAAGTTTAAATTTCGTGTCTGTGGTCTGGACGACCATTCAGATTTCTGGACAAAGTACAAAAAAATACTGGACGGACGGACGTATCACGTACTTGTCGTCAGTTGTTTTTTTTCAAAGCCCTACTTTAGAGAACCAAGGCGTAAAGTCGTAAACCCATCAAACCCTATTTTCAAAGTATTTGTACAGAAGTTCTTCATTCATACTTATTTTATTTTGTTGTCTCAAAATAAAAGATCCGATTTGGTACACGCCCTAAATATTCATATCCATCTGATGTGATGTCACTTACAATTGCACAGTCACCCTCATCACTCGTGACTTTTTTTAGGAATATGTAATTTTTTAAGTTTTTTAGGTGTAAATACATATTCATTTTTCGAGTCGCATTCTCGAGTTTCTCCGTACCTGGCCTCGGAGCCTCCTTTTTTATATTTTTAAAGTTAAAAAAAACAGACTCGCAAAGAAATATACAAAAGTAATTCTAATTTTTCAAAATAGTTTTAAATACATACCGTCTACGGGCTACGGCCCATCAGGTATTTCAAAATATTATTTATGTTGTGCATCACGTCATATCGTATGCTGTTTATAAAAAAGAAAGAAAAAAAAACAGAATATCGACTCAGGCTTCAGGGCCGCAGGGCTCAGGCTCCTAATCCTCTGATTCCTAGATTGCAATATAAATACAAAGAGACCTGATAGCACTATGTATATTTTTCTTAAATACACACAGTACATAATGTTTTTGTTTTAAAAAAAAACATAACCTTCTGTCTAATTTTCTTTTTTTTAAAGGGCTATGCTCAAAATCCTGTTTAATTTTCAGAAGGCTATGAAAATTTAAAATAGGACAACAGAATAATAAATTAAAAATAAATAAAACACCAATATGTAACTGAATCGTAAATATTTATGCATTTTCGGGAAAAAGAAAAAAGAACAAAACCAAATGATAATATTTTATATATAAAAATGTTGTTTTTTAAAAACAAACGTACTTGAAAAAAGCCACTCCTCTTCTTCTTCTTGGACTTAAATTCGCTGTAAGTTTTAAAACAAGTTTTTTTTGTTCTTTTGATAACAATATAAATGGTTTGTCACGGCATTTTTTAATATTTTTTATCTCAGCCTCTCAAGTCTCAACTTCAAGTCTCAGGTCTGAGGGCTGAGGCCTCCGGGCTCACGGCATTTTTTAATATTTTTTATCTCAGCCTCTCAAGTCTCAACTTCAAGTCTCAGGTCTGAGGGCTGAGGCCTCCGGGCTCAGGGTGACTGGAAGTCAGGAGTCTCAGGAGTCAGGGACTCAGGACTCGTTGAATTTTAAAAGTTGAACTTATAGTAAAATGTTTAACGGAATATTCTTTAGCGTTGCAATGTATAGTGGTATAATTTGACCTATATATTGTGACCAAATTTATGCACCTATTCTATAAAAGCTTTTTAGTCTCGATTTTTGATATCAGTATGTATTGTCAGGACAAATTTAAAATTTATTACATAAATAGTATGTATGGCCTATAAGTTTTGATTCAGGTCTTCAGGATTGCAAACAGGCTGACTGAAAAAGTACAAAAGGCTTTTGACGCCACCCACTGAGTTTAGACCAAAGGTCAAAAGTGACCACTGATGACTGACCACCGGGACCAGTCACCATTGGCGACTGGCGAGTAACAATCTTCACTCAATTTTAGCACCTGAGTGGCTGACTGGACCTGGGCCATAATGGTTTTTTTAAATTTTAGTGCAATGATAAAGTTTTCAGAGATAGCATGCACCACTTATCTTTTAACCAATCGACGACAATGGGATTGCCAAGGAGTAAACATCAAATATCACTTCTTTTCTATTTTTCTTCTATATAGTACTATTTTTCAAAATAATATCGTCCTCAGTAACATTTTTTCTTTTCTTTCCAAAGTCTTTCTAATTTTTCCAAAAACAATTGTACTGTATGATACATACATATACGACAGTACTGGCAGCAATTTTAAACACTTTTGTACTCGTGTGATAAACACAACATCTCGTTCATATTGTAAATATAAAAAGAACAAAATTTCATTTTAAACTATCATGAAAAACGTATTAACTCTTATAGCCGCTATTTGTGCGATACATATCAACGCATCGCCCACTTCCAGGCAAGAACGCCAGGCCGAGGCCGGATGCAGATGGGACAATGGGAACGAAGTCTTCGGTCTAGGAACGTTGCATACTGATGATGCAGGGACGCTTGTCTGTGAATGTATGCAAATCGGAGACGAGCCATACGGCGCATGGGAATGTGTGGATACAGAGCAGGTTGCTGCTGTGGTGGCAAAGAGTGAGTTCACTGATGAAGAAGGTCAGGTGGATAGTCAGACTCACTTGGATGCGATCGTGAAAGATGTGCAGGACGGTGATAAGAGCTCTTGAATTGTGCGCTAGTTTACGCGCTTGCACTACAATTTACGAGGTGGTGAGACAGTCCGTCTAAGATCAAGTTTACGTACACCAGAAAAGCACATTTGGTTGCGAGTGGCCAAAAAAAGGCCCAGACCGGAGGAGATACTCTCAGCATCTGTTTCGCTTGTCCGAAGCTAGCAGAATAACATTGCTCGGCTGTATTCTCGGGAATTGGACATCTTGACGCCAATTGTTAAACTTTAAAGGCGCGATACACACGTTAAACGTCGTCAGATGACATGATTGTGTCTTTAACTATCGCTTCAAGAATCATGACTATTAAGTCGTCGATCAGTGGTGCGTACCGAATGTTCAGATTTAGTACATTCCTTTATACCAAACAAATCTTAGACTTAGTGTATACGTACATATAACGAAATAAAATTTAGAATTAGTGTATATATCCATGAATATTGTGGCGAGATGCTCTACAAACACCCGCATGCTGTTCACAGTTGATGGAAAAAATCGATTTTTCAGTGCATACCACGAATCGTCGTTTCCATGTCGTACAGCAATGTTGTGTGGCAGCGTGTGGTGCGAAATATCAATTAAGGATGGTCTGTTTGCGAGAGCCAAATAGGCTGTGCTTATCCATACGAATGAGAAATAGTTGCGCGAATAGCTATAATTAAAAAATTGGTCTAAAATATTTTTGTCGGATTTGAATAGAATACACAATGTGACAGAACCACACCCTCCTACCAAGCCAGGTGAACAGGCCGGTTTCGAGTATTCACATATTCATTAATATAGTCAATATGTCAGTGTCAAGATCTATCATACTTGTAGTACAAATCTTAGGTCCAATTGCACCGAACAGAAGCCAATTAAGATCCGTGACGGTCGCCAGTTTCACGCAACATGTAACCAATAGGTACAAGGGGAAAATATGCGTCAAACCGACAGGGATGTGCGTGCCTCAGCAGATTAAAGTTCGTGAAAAACCTCGAGAGTTCAGGTCACTCAGTGAACTTACGCTAATACCGCACTTGCGATTAAACACTCCGCAAGTGCGATAGACTACGATTATACAGTAGCCCGAACTATGTAAGACATGCATATGAAGAGCGCGGCTACTTAAACGCTTACATACTTTGCAGCCAAGCACACTGCAAGGCAACGCTTGCGATTCAGCTAGCACACTACAGAATCACGCAGGTTTCTACTACTTTATTGCACCCTTAATCTAAATTATCACCATTTTTGTCAGTTACTTGCGCTCGTAACTGATAGGACGCACAGAGCAGAACAGGTCGATTTCCGCATCTGTCACAGTGGCACGGCGCTGTACAGTAACAAACGGAGGGCTTTGCATATGAGATAGTTTGTGCACGCAATGGGAAAGAAGTATGCGAGAAGGAGGTATGCGTGCACAAAGAGAAGTGTGTGTACTTGGGTGTGTACCAATGAATACACCGAGTGTGTATGCAATCTCGCTGTGGGTGGAGGCGGACGAGTTGTTACCCGTGACCTCTACAAATACGATTATACCACATACAGCCTGCATCGTCCGAGCACACTCACACATCTACAACACTTCCAGTCTGTAGCTTCCGGTTGCACGTGCATAAAACTACACACGGTCTGTAGCTGCAGGGCACAGTCATACACAGCCACACCACTTACCGCCTGTAGTTTCTGGGTGAACTCCACTAGCACTTCAATGAGCTTATCCTTGACCTCGCTCGTAAGCATTTCCCCGGAGGAGTACCTGTCATGGATGGTCCTCAGCTCCACATCGTCATCGAGGAAGAAGGTCAAGTACTGGTATGCTACATCCACCTCACAATCCCCACCCTGAGTGTGAATTTTTTTTATGGTTTTATATGGTTAATGAGAGAAGCCAAGAAAGTGGCAACTTCTGAATGGTGGGGGCATACGATTGGTCAGTTGGGGTTTTCGATAGTTTGCAGGTCAGTCGCAAACAAGCTCGCTTTTCGCATCATATCTGACACGTGCAAAGACTGCCGATGATTATTTGCATGAACCATGATACATATCGCCGTAGTGATTTGTAAAAGCTGTCTACAGAATACCACCCGTCAGACCTGTGCACATGCATCGTTATAAGCGATCGCGTGGTAGGAATACACCCACACCTTGGATCTACGGGCAAACCGCACGAAGACTGCCCATCTGGACGAAGGTTACGCGTATGTATCGGTAAATATGATAACCAAAGTTGACACTGTTGCACAGATAGGGCACACACCTTCTCACGATGTTCCTCAAGGGTCTCTCGACCTCCACTGAACGCATATTTCTTCACCTGTAAGCATGGAAAGAGGGTTGAAATCAGTGACTGCAAGCCCAATACACATGCATGTTCTCACATAATTATAACACAGCTCTAATATCTGACATAGTACGTCCACATGGTCCGGGCAGTACCTTCTTGGCGATCTGCTTAGGCGTGTCACAAGTGAAAATAGCGGACGTGTCCACACTCGCACTCATCTTCGATCCAGCGCCTTGGAGTGCCGGGAAGAACTTGGAGTATATGGTGCAGCACTTCTTGTACTTTAACCCGCCCGCAATGTTCCTGGTGAGTCTGAAGTAGGGATCCTGCGTGATAACGTAACCATGGCAACCGATATCAATGACAATGAGGTCTGATGGGAATAGATTTCATAGATTGCTTGCGATGTAGTGGGCTTTGTGCCTAACGAAACAGGCTGTCAGATTCTACTATAGAATCTCCCCTCTTCGCCAGCTAACATCTTACAAGCAAGACGGTTCGATGAAATGGAGACGAATTCATGATCTCAAACGGGCACATGGGCGCGAAACGTCACCATACGCAATACTAAGACAATGTTCTAGGCCAACCAACAACTCGCTTCTTACGTATAGGGTATGCTTGGTAGGTGCGGGCGTGCGCAGTCACTGAACCACATACACCCACTGACCTGATCGATCGCGGCCGGGATTAAGCAGGGAATGTCCTTCTTAGTCCCAAAGATGTGAGGGAAGGTGTTGCTGAAGCACGGCACCATCTGCACGGGCGGGAAGGCTACTTTGCCGACAATTGTTCTGTAGAGATGTGATAATTATTGAGTTGAATCTTTTAAACGAGCGAGCACGCGCACATTTGCAACCCACATGCTGATCTGGTACTGCTGCAATTGGTGTACAATATACATGTCCGACTAAACAACACATAACATCAGTGTGTGCAAGTCGAGCGTTATAACATTCAATCTCCACGATCGTACATACGTGTCATCGAAGCCGAAAGTGTTGTTTAACTGATTGATGTTGATCTTCTTGTTGACCTCGAGAATGTTAGGGTAAAGATATTGAATGTATTCCATATTCGAGAAGATGAACGTTTTGTCGGGGTTGAAGCCAACGGAGATGATATCCTTGACATTCTCACGCATGAAGCGCTTGGAGTCAACCAGACTCTGGTCCTTGAACAAGAACTTCTCGTCATCTGCAAGAACCGAGGAACCCGGTAGGGTATGAGAGCACATACTTCCTTGTTAATGTATTTGCTGAAGTGCGGTGTACTATATTATCGTATCATGTTCCGGCGTGGGATAGTGTAGTTGACCATAGCACCCCATATAGATGTCAGTCCACAGCGAGTAAAACATTTGCCCGACTTGCAATCGAATAAGGGGTGTATCCGCATATAGGAGTCACCAGGACCGGTCCACAGTCAAGGTCAAGTAATCATGCACCCACAGATAGCGTTCAGCCGTGTGGGAAGCTTATCAATTGGGACCTGCCTGTTAGAAGGAACGCAGCACAGCACAAACAATACCAATACAAAAGGATGGCACTGGGTAGCACAAACACAGTCACGGCACACCAACAGTCTGCACACACCACAAAGCACTATAAACCATTGGCCTGGCACGACTGCAGCACGTGCTCACAAACACATTGACAGCGGTAGCGTGCGACAACCCCGAGTTCTGATCAATCCAGACAATACCAACGGTACCTATGTCCATCTACAGCGCATCTATACGCTTCCTATTAGCTGTCACTCCCGCGGGCTCGTAACCATACGGAAGGGAACGCTCACATACCAGTCATCTGGATTACAATAGGCACATCGAACACCTCTTGCAGGTACTGGCAGAAGATGAACGGCACCATATGACCCATGTGGAGTGCATCTGTACAATGAGACATTGAGGGTGTCAGGAAGTACGCATGCAGAGTGTCTAACGCTAGATTCTCCTATGATGCATGAAGCGACAGGTTATAGGATCATATAGCTGCAGCAACAGTGCACCCTGCTATTGCGGCCAAGAGATATCATCCATACCCGAGCTCGGGCCACGACCGGTATACAGGTAGAAAGGCTTTTTCTTCTCGTAGAGGTCTAGAATCTTGTCGAACTCACTGGTTGTATGCGAAAGAAGCAACAATACGGTTAGAATGTCAACAAAGGCGATGGAGTTGTCGAACACTGTCCAACCGACTCTCGGCCTATGAATTTTAACAGGAAATGAATATAGCTACCACGCCCTCACAACTCTGTCCCCTCCTCCTCCCCCTCCTTTCCATTGTATACGGCAGCCAATTCCATCTAAGCGTGATCGAGTCATTTATACACACGTCAGGTCTAGGGTAAGATCATATATCTGCGTAAATGATCCTACAAGTGTGCGTGCACCCGTGTTCTCAAAGACTACTCACCGATGGGCGTAGAACATTCCGCGTCGAAGCATCATGTGTGCCTTGCGTCCAGTCAACTGCTCGAACCGTTCGATGAGCGACTGGGGCAGAGGACTGCAGCCGAACGTGTCAATGAGTTTGTTGTAATCGACGCCCTGTAGTATGATGTAAGGTGTATACATGAGCTTACTTGCCCGGTACATAGACACTTCATGCGATACCGATGTGAGGCCGCTTACTTGATATTCACACGTGAATGTGTATAAGCAAGCACAAATAGATATATAACCCGTACGATTTGGCAAACTTACAACCCTTACATCCAATTTTGAGTGGATGAGAAAACTTACACACATATGTATGTATATGGATACGTAACGAGCTTATTGAAATATAGTCCGCAGTTGTAATTAAATTCAAAAATGTGTATTAGTAAAGTAGATATATATCTATCTATGCACATATGTAAACTGGTATATAGATATACACCTACAATGCATATACATAAATTTATACATATTTATACATGTACGGTATATATATACAAACACACACACACACACACACATATATATATATATATATATATATATATATGTATATCTATATATATATATATATATATATATATATATATATAATAGACTATAATATATTCTTATATATATATATATATATATATATATATATATATATATATATATACATACGTACATACATACAGACATACATACATACATACAGTACATACATACATACATACATACATAATATATATATATATATGTGCGTGTGTGTGTGCGTGTGTGTATCGGACTGAGCTGATGCGTATTATTGAGTTAATAAATACACACGCAATCATAACTCCGCGCAGATAAAAAAATATACTCTACAACTAATAACATTGAATGGCTTAAACAGTTCAGGCACATTCTTCAAATATAATCCGCACTAATTATCACACACATACCTGTTGTACTCCGTCAACCACAGCACCTTGCACATCCCAAGGCGTTATTTTCTGGCTGCCTTTATCTTCCTCAGCCTTTTCTGACTTGTGGGCTGCGAGATCTGCCTTCCGTTTCTTGAGTTCGTCTACAGCCGCAGTTATTTCATCTTTGCTTGCTCCGTTCTCTTTGAGTTTGCGCACTAATAATAAAAAATTCACACAAACAACACACCAGATCAGCTACGCTGCAACACTGAATATGTACTTGTCTGCCGGGTGGTCGATTGAAAAAAAGAAAACAACCTGCAGTAGATTCAAGCGACGTAGAAATTACTTCGCAGTTCAACGGGTTAATCCTTGATGCGTATATCAAGAAATCAGTACAGGCGCATGGAAAGTGTTTGCAACATATATTCACTGGAGTGTCGCTGTGCTTGCCTCCCATCTCGACACACATCAAATACATACCTTGTATGTCGACACACAACTCATACTGAACACCTGCATGTGGAGCAACACACAGAATATACTCGACTTTGCACCATAACACAAGGACTTCTTTTTATGCTATTGGAGCGCGATGAACAAAAGTGTCAGGTGTACAGGTGAAGCAACGGTGCAGTTTACCGGCTTGAGCTTGTGTTTCAACAGCGGCATCGAGATCACGCACAGCTTGGGTTGCAGAGGCAGCCATTCTAATTGATTGTTGTGTAACGGAGTGACAAACGGGTGTCTGTTCTGCGTTAGGTGTATATAGATAGCGCAGGTGCTTGGTGTGTGTAGTATCTATATGTTATATTCAAGAAGTATATAAATACGAATCTGATATCGGGAAGCTGTGGACCTGCCAATCTACCGTCGGCCTTCTACATAACGTTTATTGTTGAAAAGGATTCACTTTCCACTCGAAAACTCCAGTTCCCCACATGAGTCCATGGCCCAGTAAATCCCGACGGTGTAATTACATAGAACGGCACGAAGGTTCGACTTAAAAAAACCCCAAAAACCCAATCGAGTACAAAACGTTTGAACGCGAAATGAACTTTTCAAGTTTCAACGCATATTTTTATATTGGTGACCGGGTGTGACGCTGTGACTGTCAGCCACACAGGGGCGAGCGTGTCTTCTGTCTTTCCCAAATCCAAAATACAACACGAGCAATTGGTGTATTTATCAACAAGTTTAAAACGCCGCTACCTAAAATTGCACAGTCGGCAACACCTCCAGGGCTAGCGTGCTTTTGAGATACTCGTGACAGATGAACTTGTGGATATACAACCACAAGCTGTGACTTGGAACAGGCGGCCACGCCTGAGATTTGAGCAAGCGGAATTCCCGTGCTCTCGAGCTTTATAAATATATACATCTATCACATTATGATCGATAACAAGCGCATGTTCGTAACTGCGCTAAATGTAACTTTCGACCCATGCAGCCCTGAATGTTCAGCAAAGCATGTAATAAAGCATAAGCGAGAAGTAGTACCAACAACCCCGATGGAGTGCAAGTTCAAATTTTATCCTCGAGCCTCGCTAGTGCATTCAATATAATATCTGCCGCTCACAATTCATCACTTTAAATGGGGAAGATCGCTCACGTGAACAGAAACTTATGAGATTATCCTTGAATGCGGCAAAGACAATATTGGATTTTTAACAACTCGTCGAATGCTATATATATCAAATCTGAAAGTCAGTCTATAGGGGATAATTCTTTGTTGCCCATACACTAGCAATGTTGTAAGTAACGACTAACAAATCGACACGAGATTTTCCCATTTTTGCTGAAAATATATATGGAATACACTTCTTCTTATACTACAATACTAGACTACAGCCCTCAGGACAACGAAGCAAGGAATCAGTACTGTGTCATAGTTTTACCTAAATCTTGTGGAAGATACGCTAAATCGTGTAGATGTCTACTAAACAATCCAGTAGATCCGCCACACGTGTCTGCTCTGTTTGACTGAGGTCTGTTGCACCCGCGGATGCCAGCCAGGAACGTCTGGCCACAAGCATATCGCTTTGTACGGCATACCTGGTATTCACACACACGTTTCGTATCTCCTGAGATATAGCCTCATGCTTTGCTTTGACATTCCCAACCGTAGCGGACAGTGTGCTACTATCCTGAAGTTCGCCGAACTCTGTGGTGACACTCTCTACGACACCTCGTTTACAAGACAGTGTCAGCGCAGCAGTTCCCCATGGAAATACGCGGCGTACTTGTTGAGTGAATTGTGGTGTTTGGCCATACTGCCAGTCCCAGCCAACCAGCGTATCACGATACTGCTTGCACCACTCACCTACAGCCATGTCCGTCTCAGGATTTATTTCTTCGGGCTGGTGAGTAGTACTTGAAACAGATTGGTGTACTGTCGTACTTCCAACATCATTTGAGTTTACATTACCGCGTTCTCCCTCAGAGTTATAGCTATTTACCTCATTCCCACTGAGGCCACCCTCGAGCACGTGTTGGCCCAATTCGCGAGTTATACTGTCTATGACAGCGTCGATGGTCAGACTCCCATCTCCAGGCATATGGTCACACAACGCCGACACAGGTGATCGCACACTCGACACCCCTCTACTATCTACGATGCCTTCTCTATCAGAATGCAAGTACTTGCCCACACTCTTGATGTCTGTGGTGGTGAGAAGGGTGCAATGGTGATAGGCGCATCTCCCGCCCAATTTATACGCGGAGCCGGACACCTTCTTGCCATTAATGGCCAGGTCATTGCGGTCGTTCACATACACGCCCAGTTTAAAATCCCGGTTGAGCGCTGTGGCGATGACTCGAGTTAGCCTGTGTTTAGTGTAGGCGTCACGTCCTGTCACGAGTGATATATTCAGATTGCCACTATCGTGGTATACTGTGCCCCCACCGCTCTTTCGGCGCACAAAGTGGACGTGGTCTCTGTGCATTCCGCTGACGTCACATTCGGTCCAGGGGTTTTGGTTTCGGCCGATCACAACCGAAGGCTCATCGACCCAAAACAGGAGAACGCAACTATCCGATTGCATGTCGTCTGTGTAATATAGATGAAAGAAACATATTCGATCGTAAAAAATTAATGCATCGTTGGACATTGTGAAAGCATATGTACATGCTTGTTTAAGAGCGCAAATACATGTTGTACATAATGATATATAAATAATGATACAAAAAAAATTCCCTGTATCTAAATGGATGAATTTGAGAGTCGCGTATTTAAGAAGGAAGGCTACACATCATGCAGACTTGAAAATTAAAATATGCAAGCTACTTTTATCGAGATATCACTGCGGCACTCTTTATATGCTCACTCACTCACAAAAATGAATATATATATATATATATATG